GGAAAAGAATAAGGTCCTGGGCAACCCCGTGGGGGGAAAAAAACAAAGCAAAAAACAAAACGAAAAATAACTAATGACCAAAAGCAATTTGCTGGTGCCGCTCATAAATTATTCTGTGATTTTAAGGCAGTAAACAAACAGTCTTTAAACAATTTGGAAGTTTAAAAGCAAATGACGAAGTGGCTTCTTTAGAAAGCACAGCACCAGAGTGGGTCCCATTAGAGTATGAAAAGTTGTTAGAACATACATCATTTGTTTAAAAGAAGGATTTTGTGTCACAAAAGCCTTTGTGGTTTTGATGATTTGCTGTAAACCTTATGTCTTGTCAATATTTTTCAACCCATAATTGCCAAATAGCTCCTTATAGTATAATGTTTAAAGATTCACCACAGATAAACAATTTTAGCAAACAAAAATAACTATAAACCAGTCAATGTCACAGATTTGGAGCTCAAATCTGGTGTGGTGGTAGCTGAGAGTCAGCCCAAACGCACTAACTGATCACAACAAATTTCACAATTTTGCAAGAGATGTATGGTAATATTATTTTCAAGAGTTGATCAAAACTGACTTAAAGTCCTTTCTCTAATTGGAAACATAATTTTAATTTAAACCTTTGGCCACTGATAATGTTAAGGTGGCAAACTAAAACCAAAAGCCAAAACAGAACTTATTTCTTTAAACGCACCACACATGTTTAGTTGCATATAAAAAAGGAAAGTCTGACAGTAATCTGGACAAAGGCAGCTGGTGGAGTTGTTTTAAGACCAGAGGGGACTAATAATTTAAAGCTGTGGCTCCAGAGTTGTTGAAAACAACACCTCTGTCTTTGTGCTGTCTTCAGTTATATTTATTATTATTATTTTTTTTTAAGAAGAAGCTGAAGACTCATTTATTTAGAGACACTGTCAAACTTGGTATTTTCACTTGCTTGCATTTTATACGTCAAACGAGGAGGGAAAAGTATCAGGAGACAAACCGAAATGAGGAAAGTCAAGAATATAGGACTAAGGGTGGTAACTCATAACATAGGCACAATGACAGGTAAATGTAGAGAGCTGGCTGACATGATGCAGAGAAGGAAGGTATACGTTTTATGTATCCAAGAGACCAAGTGGAAGATCAGCAAGGCTCGCAGCATTAGAGCAGGATTTAAACAGTTTTACCATGGTGTGGATAGAAAGAGAAATGGAGTGAGGATGGTCCTGAAGGAGGAGTTGGCAAATAATGTAGTAGAGGTGAAAAGAGTGTTAGATAGGTTGATGTGTCTGAAGGTAGACGTAGATGGTCTGATGCAGAATGTTGCCAGTGGTTATGGTCTACAGGTTAGATGTGATGTGGAGGAGAAAGACACATTTTGGAAAAATCTAGATGAAGTGATATAGAGTATCCCCAGGGAGGAAAGAGTGGTGATCAGAGCAGACCTGAATAGACATGTTGGTGAAGGAAACAGAGGGGATGAGGAAGTGGTGGGTGGGTTTGGTGTCAAGGAAAGTAACCAACAAGGACAGATGGTGGGTTTTGCCAAGAGAATGGAAAAGGTTGTAGTTAACACCTATTTTCCACAAGAGGGAGGAACATAGAGTGACCTATAAGAGTGGAGGAAGGAGTACGTAGGTCGACTACATTCTGTGAAGAAAAGGAAATCTGAGGGAGATTGGGGACTGTAAGGTTGTGGCAGGGGAGAGCGTGGCCAGACAGCATTGGATGGTTGCGTGTAGTATGACTGTTGTTGTGAAGAAAAGAAAAAATAGAAAAATTAGAGAAGAAGTCCAAATGGTTGAAGCTGAAGAAGGAAGAATGTTATGAGAAATTCAGAGAGGCTCTGGGTGGTAAGAAAGAGCTTCCAAATGAATGGGCTACAACAGCAACAGTAATTATAGAGACAGGTAGGAAGGTACTTGGGTGTGTCATCTGGACAGAGAATGGAAGATGAGGAAACTTGGTGGTGGAATAGTGAAGTGCAGGATGCCGTTCAAAGAAAGAGGTTAGCCAAGAAGAAATATGACAGTGAGAGGACTAAAGAGAGGAGACGGAAACATAAGGAGATAAGACGTAGAGCAAAGAGAGAGGTAGCTAAGGCAAAGCAGAGGGCGTACGATGAGTTGTATGGGAGACTGGACACTAAAAAGGATGAGAAGGACTTGTACCGATTGGCGAGACAGAAGGATCAAGCTGGAAAGGAAGTGCAGCAGTTGAGGCTTATTAAATATAGGAATGGTAGTGTTCTGACAAATGAGGAGAGTGTGATGGGAAGATGGAAGGATTACTTTGAGGAACAAATGAATGAAGAGAATGAAGGAAAAAGATGAGTAGAGGTCAAAAAAACTGTGGAGCAGGAAGTGGGAAATGTTAGTGAAGGTGACGTTCTGAAAGCTCTGAAAAGAATAAAGAAAATGACCTGATGACATACCAGTGGAGGTTTGGAAATGTCTTGGAGAGATGGCAGTGAGGTTTTTGACTCAAATATTCACTGGCATATTTGAGGGTGAGAAAATGCCTGAGGAATGGAGAAGTGTGCTGGTGCCCATGTTTAAGAACAAGGGTGATGTACAGGGGCGGCTGTGGCTGAGTGGTTAAAGCAGTCGTCCTCCAATGCAAGAGTTGGGGGTTCGAATCCACCAGCAGTCACGTGCCGAAGTGTCCCTGGGCAAGATATTGAACCCCTCATAGCCTCCGATGTGTGTCCCATCGGTGTATGAATGTGATAAAGCACTGATTAATCTCTTTAGAATGATTTGTTCAATTAGCTTTGTAGAGATCTAGTAGAGTGCTGTATGAATGGGTAAATGAGGGCACAGATTGTAGTGTAAAGTGCTTTGAGTATCTTGATAAGATAGAAAGGCGCTATATAAGTACAGTCCATTTACCATTTACAGAGTTGTAGCAACTACAGGGGAATTAAGTTGATGAGCCATAATGATGAAGATCTGGGAGAGAGTTGGGAGAGACTATCTGTGAGCAGCAGTATGGTTTCATGCCAAGAAAGAGCACCACAGATGCCATCTTTGCTTTGAGGATGCTGATGGAGAAGTACAGCGTTCAGAAAGAACTCCATTGTGTCTTTGTGGATTTAGAAAAATCATATGACAGGGTGTAGAGGGAGGAGGTGTGGTATTGCATGAGGAAATCTGGAGTGGCAGAGAAGTATGTTAGATTGGTACAGAACATGTATGAGGACAGCAGGACAGTGGTGAGACGTGCTGTAGGAGTGACTTATAGCTTCAAGGTGGAGGTGGGAGTGCATCAAGGATCGGCTCTTCTTGTTTGATCTGGTGTTGGACCAACTAACAGATGAGGTCAAGCAGGAATCCCTGTGGACACTGATGTTTGCGAATGGCATTGTGCTCTATGGTGAGAATAAGGGAACAGGTGGAAGAAAACTTGGAGAGGTGTAGGTATGCACTTGAAAGAAGAGGAATGAAAGCCATCCCTAGTAAGACAGAGTACATGTGTGTGAATGAGAGGGAGGCCGGTGGAACAGTGAGGCTACGAGAAGGTCACAAAGGTGCAGGACTTCAGGTACTTGGGGTCCATAATCCAGGAAAATGGGGAATGTAGTAACGAGGTGAAAAAGAGAGTCCAGGCAGGATGGAGTGGATGGAGAAAAGTTTCAGGAGTGATTTGTGACAAAAGGGTGTCAGCAAAGGTCAAATGAAAAGTTTACAAGACAGTTGTGAGACCAGCTATATTGTGTGGTCTGGAGACAGGGACATTGACAAAAGGACAGAAGAAAGAACTGGAAGTGGCAGAAATAAAGATGTTGAAGTTCTCCTGAGGAGTGACAAGGATGGATGAGATTAGGAATGAAATCATCAGAGGTACAGCACAGTTTGAACAACTGGGAGATAAAGTTAGGGAGGCCAGACTGAGATGTTTGGACATGTCCAGAGGAGGGACAATGGGTATATTGGTAGAAGGATGTTAGAAATGCAGCTGCCAGGAAAAAGACAAAAAGAAAGGCCAAAGAGGAGATCTATGGATGTAATTAGAGAGGACATGAAGGTAGTTGCAGTGAGGACAGAGGACGCAGAGGACAGAGTGAGGTGGAGAAGGATGACTCGCTGTGGCGACCCATGAAGAGAAAAAAAGCTGAAATCAGAATAATTTATATTTTAGATTTGCTTTTAAACCACTTTGTTTAATTTTTGTTTAAACTTCCATCCATGGACTTGATGTATGGACAGTGCTGTCAAAAAAGAGCAGCTGGAATCATCAAAGACTCACTCCATCCAGCTCACTCTCCTATCAGACACAAAAAATGTTCATATAACCTGAGACACAGTAGAGAGGATAGCATCATCACCCACAGTTTTTTTTTTTAATGTTTTTAATAGTTTTTCCCTGACACAGTCAGGCTGATGGCAAAACAAAACTACTGATCAGGTGCAATAATAACCCTACACTGCCTAACTTCACTAGTTATGTGACATGGGAATGAAAGTAGGTATTTCTGTACAGTGTAGGTATAAACCACTTTATTTCTGTTTTTATTCTATTTATTTAGTGTTGTTTCAGTGTTTTAACTATGACAGAGAGCTCTACACAAGAATTCCAGTGTCCCTGGACTGTTGGTCTGTGTACAAATGGCAAATAAAGAACGTTGCAATTTGATGTTTCATGTATATTTAGTTTAAATGTACTGTGAAGTACATTGTGGGTTTTATACTGTGAAAAGTGCTCTCAATAAATAAGGTTTACTTATGTACTTTCTTTGCTTATTGGTAAGTCAGTTTCAGAGTACTCACAGAAACATTAGTAAGCTCTGAATTATGCATTTTCAGTTTCTGGGACTTAAAATCAACGCTGACAAGTCAGTGTCTCCTTGTGGAGGCATGACCTCTGTGCCTCTTTGATGCTGTAAACCATGAATATTAGACATGCAGGTTGTGTGTGGGATCACAGATAAACCAACAATATTGTATGAATAGTTTTCTGTGGGGCACTCCAGAATGGCCCAGCCAAAAGATGACACAAAGCAGTTTATCTTGTGTGTGTACCTGCAGAAAGTCTGGGCCGGGTCCTGGGTGTTTGCATGTCTTGCCGTGCATGGGGCAGCATGTGGTAGCGCTTGGCTTCGTTGACCAGATCACGACACGCCTCCGATGATTTGATCAGCTCCTCGTTGTCCACCACGTTAAGCAGGTAGGATGGATGAATGAAGGGAAGACGGACCACCGCCAGCAGCTCCGACAATTGCTGAGAGGAACAAACAGACAAAAATAAAGATCACCAGAGCTTACGTAATGTTTTAGAACTGTCTTTCATTGCCTACTATTTAAAAGTGAAGGCAGATGGTAATTTTATTGAAACTTGCAGAAAGTAATAACTGGATGTACAACTGATAAACCTTTGGAGTCAAACTCAAGATGGCTTCCATAGTCAGCATAACCTAAAAAAATGGCTAAAACTGACATTTTTTAAAGATACTGAGCAAAACTTTAGTATGGTTGTAGATGACAATGCTCTATTATACATATTTTAAGTGCTAACAGGTTACATAACATCTTTGTTTTAAATTTAGACATTAAGAAGTTGGGAGTTTATGTTCATAAACCACAGGTTATGAAACTTCCAGGGAATCATTATTGGCTGTCCTTCCACCACTAACTTTTACAGCCAACCTAATTCAAGATGTCTGCCATGGTCAACAGAGCTTAATAAACTCAAAAATTACTCTCATTTATACCATTTTACAGACATTGGGCTACAGTTCGGTGGTATACAAGCCAAGGGTTATTACCAACACATGTTCCAAAAGCTACTACCAGTAATTGTGAGGAGTGTTTGCTTGAAACTTTAATAACAACTGTTGAAGTCAACCCCGTTTTTCTGTATCTAATAAACCACTGATAGAAACATTTAGACCGTACAGTATTCCCTCATTTATCGCGGGGATCCGTACACTGAAGATCCGTGATAAGTGAAAAACTGCGAAATAGGAATATTAGAAAAAGTAGTAAGTAGTACTTTTGTTTTTTTTTTGGGGGGGGGGGGGGGGGGGGGTGTGCAAAAAAAAAACAATACACATAACGGAAAAGATTTAAAAAAAATGTGCAGGAGAGGTCATAAAAACCCAAAATGGTCTTACAAGTGCCTCCCTCCTCTAAAAAAAAAAAAATCATAAAAGCTTTATACATGAGCTTACATCTTACTTTAAACACACACAAATACACACCAAAGCAATAGATAATAGTTCATAATAAATTTTTATTAGCCAAAAATAATAAATAATAAAAAAATAAAACAAATGTGTAAAAAAAATTATAAACTTTGTTGCAACTTTCTTTTAAATACAGATAATGTTGTACTTGATTCACTTAGTTGTTTTAAACTGTTCCACAACACAGTTGTGTGTGTGTGTGTGTGTGTATATATATATATATATATATATATATATATATATATATATATATATAAAAAGTTGTTTTAAACCCTTCCCACACTTTTGCAATATTCTAAACAATGTTTCTAAACTCTAAACGCTCTAAACGAGCACAAAATGTCATGATTTCAGTTCCCTGCCTCCTCTGCCACTCTTGGCCACACCCACTTCTCCACTCTGCACGGTGAACAGCTGCTCATGCACGGAGAGCAGCTGATCAGCTGCAGCAGAAAGTTTATCATGCAGTAAGGGCTGCACAAAGCTGCAGGAGGTGTGAAATACTTTTAAATAATTTATTTTAAATAAAAACTCCGTGCTGATCGTGCAGCTCATCCGTCAATCAGCCAGTTGTGTGTAATGTCTAATCTTATTTTGAAAAACCGCGACAGTGTGAGTCCGCGATAAGCGAACCGTGAAGTAGCGAGGGACTACTGTACTGATTGGGTGTACATCTACAACTGACTAACTTTTAGAATAAACACGATTCAAGATGGCTGTCGTAGCTGATCAAACCTAGACTTCACAAAAAAATGGCTTTAACTCAACAATGTTCAGTCAGGTCATCTGGACGGTTTATTTTTTTGGCAAGACGTTTCATCCTTTATCAAAAGGACTTCTTCAAATCTGAGGGGCCACCAAACAAACAGAGTTCCACAAACAGCACACCCTAGTGGCAAAACCAGTTTGCTGGTGCTAAGATGGCCTCCAGGGCTTGCCCTCTCCCCCGTCAACTCCTCTGAGACCGTGGTTCAAAACACCAAAGTTCATGCTCAACCTGACTGAACATTGTTGGACTTTTACCTGGATTATTGAGCATGAACCTTGGCGGCTATAACAGTTAATCTCAGAGATTGAGCTAAATTTTGATGTGGTAGAAGCTGAGTGTGATTCACAACACTCAGTGTGAGACGTTGAGATGGAGCATAAAGTTATTTTCAAGCTTTAACTCAAACAGCTACAAATCAGTCATTTCTCAACGCTATATTATCATGATTTAAACACTCAGAAAAGGCAGCAGGCGATATGAAATGCTCGGCCTTTCGTTTGTTTACTTTTGCAGTTCAAATGTCAATTTTTATAATAATCTCAAAGAAAAAAATAGAAGCATGTTGAATACAAATCTGGTCTATTAGCGTGTGGAAACGTGACAGCAGCGAGAGCATTAATTTAGTCACAGTCTGTGTCAGACCCTCAAAGCTTCAGTTCATTACTCCACGTCACACTTTTTTATATTCACAGGACAAGATGCTCAAACAAGGAGAGACAAAGGATAAAATGTCGCCTGAAAACCAGACGAACATTTCTAAATTTACCATTAGACATATTCATTTAAAAAAAAAAAAGACGAAACCTAAACTCCTACAACTAAAAAAATACAACAACTTGGGACGCTTGCTTTTTAATTCTGCTACAGAAACAGACTCACAGCGAAGGAGGAACCAGAAGTGACATTTTGAAAAGTTTTCAGTAGGATCCATGCAGTCTCGCTTTCATATGTGAGTTTAGTTTCGCAGTGAGAGCTCAAACGAAGCAGCGGGGGGTATCCTACTTCCACCCTCTGCTTCGGAGGATCCCCCCCACCCCCCAGTTTCCAAATTAAATCTTTCATCAGACAAAAATATGTTGTATCTTTTTTTTCTTTTCTCTGCAACTAAATTAAGACCCAGCTGCTCCTAATCATAACCCATTCAAGCCAAAAGACTGCAGCGCCATCAGCAAGATTTCTTTTTTGAAGGGGGAAGGGGAAGTTTAAGCAGAGGCGATATAATAAAGATTAATTTGACTCAATTTTTAGCCCAAAGGTTTCTTTTAATTTACACACAGTGAGGAACTGGTTTATGATGATTAAAACTTTTGGGAGGGGGAGGTGAAAATATTGAACTATTGCAGTGTAAATACCTGTATTTACAACATCAATACAGAAAAAAAAGGATGTTTAAAAAGGTAAAGAAAAGCAGAAAGCAATGATCTAAGCAAATCTGAAAGAAAGAAAAAAAAACATATGTTCACAATGGAACACAGTAAACATGTCAAATGTTGAAATGAAAGACAGTATTTTGTTTAAATAAACTGAATATATTTTTCTGCCCTGGTGGTGCCTTTACAAATGTGAAAGCTGTCCATACCATAGGCAATATTGCACCCCCATACCATCAGAGAGGCAATCTTTTATATGGTCTGAACAAACCCTCTCCTCTTCTGTGTGGAGGGTGTTGTGTTTGTGGTTTGGAACAAATTGCAATTTGTCTGACCAGAGAACAGTTTCCATCTTTACCTCAGGCCATTTTAAATTAGCTTTGGACAAGATGTAAAAAAAGTTAAGTCAGATCCTCTGGACGGGTTAAAAAAAAAAAAAAAATGTAGAAATGTTTCGTCTTTCATCTGAAAGACTTCTTCAGTCTGAGGAGCTGTATTCAGCTCAGTCTTATAAATTGCACCTTCTCATAGTGAATCAACCAGTTTGTTGTTGACATTAGAAACAAGCTGTTCACGTGATCAAGGAGGACCATCAGCCTAACAAGTTTTTTGTTTTTTTGAACCCGTCCAGAGGACCGGACTTAACTTTTTTTTAGATTTTTCTACCTGGATTATTGAGCATGCATCATATCATATATCCATATCATGGATATTTGGACAAGATGGTGACATTTCTGTATGGTGTTTACCAATCACTACTTTTGCAGGATAGAGCTTTAACCTGCATCTGTGGTTGGCACTGCAAATTAAGGTTATCAGACTATGATTTATGTATAGGTTTCTGAGCCCAATCAGTAATCTTTGAGCCCTCAGTGCTGCCTGAGGAGCCAAAGATTACAGTCCTCCAATACTGACTTTAGGTCTTGTTGTTTGGGGGCAGAGACACCTCCAGATATTTGGCATTGTTAAGTGATATTATTAACTGCATATGATGGCATGTTCAAAGTGGTTTTTTTTTTTGCTTGAGGAACGTTATTCTGAAATTGTTCCACTAAATGGTTTATTTTGTTTTGTTTCAGTCTGGTGAACCTCTACCCATCTTTACTTCTAAAAGATTCAGCCTATTTAAAATGCTTAATTAATATCCAATCCTCTTACTGACCTGTTGTAAAATAATCCAATTAATTGCCAAATACTCCTCCAGCTGTTTCTTGCCACTTACTTTTACAGGCAGTTGTTGCCTCTTTTGCCCCTTTTTTTGCGATGTGTTGCTGTCAAACTTAAAATTACTTTTACTTTCCTAAAAATTGTACAATTTCTTAGTTTAGACATTTGATGCATTTATTATGTTCCATTGTGAATAAATCAAAAGTTTATGAAATTCACAAATTATTATTTTTTTCCATTTCACACAATGCCCCAACATTTTTTAAATTTGGGTTGTAGATGTATGCTGGTTTTTCCTCTAAGGATGTGCAAATATTTATATAGCTGTTTGGACACAGTAGCAGGACAGAGTGTTTCCAAGGCAACCTTGTTTATAGCTCCAGCAGCAGAGTGACTTTTTTTATTCCCCACTGTGTGTACAAGTGTACGTGTGTCCCTATGGGAGTCTCATCCATGTCGACAGTAAAAGCTGTAAACAAGCATGGACAAAGCGACAGAGAGCTGGGTGGGGGCTGACCTCGCTGACCCTTCGGCTCAGAACGAAGTGTCCGAGACGCACGGGGAGAGCGACAAAAACAACAGACTTGGAGAAACATCATTCAGGGGAGAGCAAATAATAAGCAGACATTCTGCCAAGGCAGCTCCTCTCCCCCACCTGAGCCCTTTTTACCAGTGTTTGTTCTCCAGCAATGTCAGGGACTCATCTGACAAAAAACAGCAAGGGGGGAAC